AGAACCAGAGGAAAGAGGTAGGTGCGGGGGGGTGGGGATGGGGAGAGGAGGGGAGGATGGACAGGCTGCGCACATTTTGAACGTGATCGTGGCGACATCGCCGCGATCACGTGTAAACTAACAAGCGGCTTCCCCACACTACATTTAGTCCTGCCTTCCCAAAGCAGGACTAAATGTAGAAGGCAGCTTACCGCCCGGCACTTTATGTTCCAGGCGTCGGGGGATTCCACACCGCTATGCGCCCTGCCGCCCCGAGGGCTGGCCTCTGTGGCCTTGTGGGGAATCCGGGCCTTAACAAGACTTGCCCTAGTGCCTTTGGATGACCCTAGGTAAGGCCTCTTGTTTTCTGTTTGGATTCTCAGTGCCTTTCCTCTGTTTGGATTCTCAGTGCCTTTCCTCCTCCTCCTCACCACGCATGTGCCTTCCCCGTGTACCCAGACATCTTCAACTTGTTTCCCAGGTCACGCCACCCCACAATGAATGTCGTTGAGGCTTAATTTAGTGGAAAATACATTTTAGGCAGCATCTTATGTGCCTTTTACATGACTACCATTAAGTTTGGTTCCCTCAATGTGAGGGGTCTTGATATCCCGAAGAAGGAGGCACAGGTTCTCTATAACATGCACAAACAAAAAAGGAGTAAGTGGTCATTTTCAAGAAAGTCACTTCAGGGCCTTGCAGGTGCCTATGATGCCTGGTAGACATTATGGGGCTTGGTTCTTTAGCAACAGTCCCACTCGCAAAGCGCGTGGTGCAACGATAGCTGTAGTGAGGAATGTAAACCTAACAGTGGTTCAAAGCCTCTAAGATGGCAGGTTTGTTTTTCTGAAATGTAAATTGTATGATAAGCTGTTTACTTTAGCCAAGGTCTACCTCCCAAATTCTGGTCAGGTGTTAGCACTCCATTTTGTCATGTCTGGGAGATTGTATGGGGTGACAGTAATAGGGGGGAATTTAATTTCGCCGCCCCCCTTGTACTGTCACACAGTGGGCGGGGACCGGGCAGTAGCGCGCTGTGATTGGCGGAGGGTTGCCGTGGTGTGTTAGATTACACAGCGCGGCTCCCGATCGGGCTAAGCATTCTATTGACCATGGCAACCATCGGATGAACGGATGATCGGACACTCTTGGCGCAGAGATGGGGGGCCCGCTGGCCGCTGGGTACCGATCCGGCACTGGGCCCCCTAGAGGCCCGAGGCCTTGGTGCGTCCGCACCGCCTGCACCGGCGGTAGTTCCGCCACTGGATACCTCAACAGGCTTCTTACAGCTCTATCAACCTACCCTTAATAAAATTAAGTTATTTAATGTACACCAGCTAGTTGACAATTGGTCCACGCCAATGTCACTCAGGCCATCTCTAATTTCTTAGTGGACCACAAGACCGATATTACCTCCCTTCTTATTAAATGGGAAACCCTGAAGTGTGTTGTTTGCAGTGCGTTTTTTATTCACGGCGCAAGATTAAAATAAGCACGCTCTGAAGCCATTTCCCATCTTTTACAGGATGTACATTCCTTAGAAATGAAACATAAAAGCTCTAACAACCGCAGATACTTCCAATCTCTTCACATCAAATGTATAGAACTCCTTAAATTGCTGGACTGCTCCTACCAGAGACAAAGATTGCACAAGATGATACTATGTGCAAGGCAACAAGTGTGATATGGCTCCTGCCAGATCTATTTGGATGAAACAATCCTGCACGTATAGAACGAAAATTAAATGTCCGCAAAAAGGTATGGTACATATCTCGTCCCAGATTGCTTCATCAGGCAAAACAAGTGTTGCCTGATGAAGGGGTTCCTGTGTGTCCCTGAAACGTCGCACTAAGTGTGTTATTTTGCTTTTGATGCACGTCAATAAATAGACATAATCGATTTACTATTGGAGTGCCGGTGTCTATTTCTTACCAGAATGATTATGCAAACACCAGCTCTTTATTTAATCTCCAGCTTGTCCGTTCAATCTCCGCCCTTACATTTAGTCTGATCCAGGGGCAGACTGACCATTAGGGCACTCGGCCACGAGGGAGCCCATCACTGACACACACACACCACCACCCCTTCCTTCCAGCCCACACAGATGTATAGAGCAGCATGTGTCCCCCGGACCCTGCCCTTGCTTTTTTAACAAAGCTGTGTCTCCTAGTTTGGCGGGTGGGTGGGGCCTATCTCGTGCTACTCCATAACTGAGTCAAGCACGCTTGTTCCAGGGGTATGGCCCTATTACTGTCCTTTGAAAAGCATGCCCAGATCCAGGTGAGAAGAGCCCTGAGGTGGTGAAGAGGCGGGTTTAAGGCATGTGCTACAAATTAAGAAAATGCGTATGGGAACCAGTCATTATTACCACATATATTGTAGCACTGTTAAGGCCAGCTATTTTTAGAACAAATAAAAAAAAAAAAACAACAGGCATATAGGAAACCGTTATGTGGTCAGAAAAATAGATTTCAGTAGTGGGCAGGTTAGATTACTACTTTTCTCCAGTGATAACCATTGTGGCACTCAAACTGAGATTGATAATCTGTGACTGGGCCTCCACGACTTGCAGAGCTGCGAGATGTAATGTACAGCACTAGTCCTGTGTGTTCATCGCATGAGAGTGTGTGGTGTAACGCAGGAGGTCAGAGGTGTAATGCACAGTACAGAGATGAGCAGTGCAGAAGTCAAGAGTTCTGCTCTTACAGGAATTATAATCTACATTAAATGTAATTTAAACAATTGCTTTGTTACACTACCCTAGAATAAAGACTGTCAGACAAAATTTAGGTTTCAAGTTTCAGAACATTTTTATCCATTTCTTATTTACTTACTCCATGGTGAACATTGCTTTCTCCAAGAAACTGTTTCATGACATGCTTCCCAAAGTCTAGAATATTGTGCAAATGCTGATAGACTTCCTCTGCAGTCTGAAATCAAAACAACAAATACAATTCCAATTAAATTACAAGATGTAAAAACTCAATGTACAGCAACTACCCAGAATAGATGTAAAGTCAATATAGACAAAACATCTGAGCCTTGTTAAGTGATCTAGTCCTGTGATACATGTGCAAAAAAAAGATAATTTAATGTGAAAAAACCCAATGTGTGCTTTTAAAAGCCTTGTTTCTGTTATAGGTTTGTTATATATGCACAGGGATCAGTCATAGCTTCCTGCATTTCTTATCCTGGTTACTGCTGTTGTGGAAAGTAAAGGAAGTGCTCCCTGATGCAAACAAAAGTGAAATCCGGACAGACACAATAACCCTTCCTAAGACACCAATGCTTCATTTTTTTTTTTCATTTTAAAGAAATCAAACCAATACAGTGACAATAAAATAAATAGGCACATAAAAAAAATAAACAGCACATCCAAACATTGAAAGGAAAATATTGCAAAGAGTGTCAGGATGCCATTCGAGTAGTTAAAAATTACCAAAAAAAAAAAAGGAAAGAACGATTATGAATCCAGACAAAAGAGGCAGTGTATATTGGATGGTTGTTCTGAAAGGTACAAAATACAAAAAAAAAAAAAAAAACTGTTGAAAAAATAATCCAGGTGGTAGCCAATTTACAAAACAAATATCTCAACCCACTTGAAACTAAAACAAAAGTGAGGGGGGTGTCTGCATACCACCAAGGGAGGCCCATAAGAGTATAGAGAAGGGTAGAGGGAAAAGGAAAAATCAGAAGAGGGAAGGGAGTAAGGTGGGTAAGTGAGTAAGGAAGAAGACCTAAGACCTCACGGAGCATCTTCAGAAAGAAAAAAAAAAGTGAAATTATGCAGAGCTCGACAGGAGTCTTTCACCCTCATCCGAAAACAGAAATAGATTCCAGTAAAACCACATCTGACTGATCAGGGACACCTCTTGAAGATAAAATCAGGTCTTCCAGCTTCGGATCTCTTCCACTCTGTTAACGAGGGGAGAAGATTCCTTCTGCCAATTGCTTGCAATACAGACTTTTTTTGTACATTTAGCCGTGCTCCAGACAAGCAGAGCTCAAATGTACAGTGGGGAGCCACTGCTCGTTTTTATACAAGTGATCTGATCACTTGCATGAAAGGAGCAGCGGTGTTTGTGCCCGTTTCCATACCACATCTCCTGCACTTGTCAGATACATTTGGTAAAAATTTGTGAAGGCTAACTGGTGTCCAATACCAACACGTCAATACTTTGTAATTGCATTCTTGAGTTCTAGTACAAATGGAGAACTTGAATGAGAAAGCGAGTCCCCCCCGTTCCCACTTGAGGAGGAAAGGGGGAACAAAAGTTGGTTCTGGAGGGACCAGCATGGAGTAAAGCAGAGAGGGGATGTCTTAAAAAGGACCTTCCGCAGAGCATAGAGATTCCAAGGTTGTCAATAGCTGAAAGAGATACAATGGTTAGTGAATCCTAGAGAGAAAGAGCCTTAACTGCCAGAACGATAGCTTGAAATGACCCGTTGGGGACATAAGACAGGCTAGCGTTGGCCAGGAAGAGCCCATGACAAAGTGGGTTGTCCGATACAGACCCCCATCACAAAGTTTCGAAAAAATAGGATCGGAATAACCCGGCGGGAAGTCTAAAAATTATGGGCGTATGATAATGATCTCTAAGGTCTGGTTCTCACCTAGTCGATTGAGCTATTGTCGCGTGTTTGTCGCGCATTTCTTTTTTTTTTGCGCGCAATTTTGTTTTGAAACCTGTGCGATTTTCAATGCATACAGAGGTCTATGGGACAAAAAACATGCCACAACCACCCAAAAATAGCTTCTGCGCGACGCAACACAAAAGGTGGAAGCTAGGGATATCCCGATGCCACTTTTTCAGTCCCAAGTACAAGTACATCCCCTCATGTACTTGCCTATACCAATTACCGATACTTTTTCTTAAAGAGACAGGTGACTTTAAATGATCCATAGTACAACTACATGTTATGTACTATGAATCATGGTTTAACCTATTCATGTTAACTTGTCAAAATGCCCTGTATCAGGCCCGATTCCGATGCTAGCATCGGTATCGGGACATCCCTAGTGGAAACAGTTCTCATTGACTTCAATGCGAATCTGTGTTTCGCGTGATAAATCGCCTAGGTGTGCACCAGCCCTCAGCATTTTTCTGCGCATATCTTTACGCCCAAAACACAAAAAGAAATACAATTTAATGGGGCTCGTTCACACCTACACGTTCGTACACGCATACAAAAAACACAACGTGGCGAAAGGTACATGCGCGATATTCTAGGCGATTTCCACAACTATGGTTATAGCTGCAAGCAGGTGGAAAACCGTGCGTTCATTAAAAATTGCACCTACCGCATGAAAAAAATAACGGAATTCCCAAACGCGCAGGTGTGAATGCAGCCCAACAGTCCACATCAAGCTAAAGAAAAACTAAGTTTTAGTCTTAGCTGTGATATCAATTTCTTGGAGTACATCACAGGAAGTTACATTCTTTTAACACTGGGTTATGCAGCTACCTTCAGGTGTTAGGAGTAATGGCGATGGCTGAGGTCGCCGAGGTTAGGACACTGGCAAATCAATCAAAGCTGCAGGACTGACCCCATCTGCAATATGTTTGTCTATGTTTTGTAGAAGGCGTACAGAGTGGATCAGAGAACACAGCGGAGGGTCCCGTGTCCTATGTTGTACTCCAAGAAACAGATTTTACAGGTAAGACAAAAATCCTGTTTTCTTGATTGTACATCACAAGACACAGGGAGTTAAATCCTGAACCACACGGATGTTCACCAGCAGTCCAACAGAGTTTTGGGCAACAACAGTAGACGGCCCCAAAGAAACAAAAACCTTAACAGGGAAGAACTAGAAATAGAGGGGTCTGAATTTAAAAGGCCGTCTGAAGGACCTTCTATCCAAAACTGGCATCGGCAGCCCTGAATGTCCACCTGAAAGGACTTAAAGAAAACTTGAAAAACCATGTGGCAGCCTTACAGATTTGGGAAACTGAAGCTTGATGTTGAAATGCAGAAAGAAGCACCAACCCTTCTAGTGTGCAGTGGCCGGAAAGTGGGGAACTTTCCTCTTCAGCTAGTAGGCCTAGTAGATGGTCTGACAAATCCAGCTAGCAATAATGTATCGGGAGGCTGGTTGGCTCATATAGGGACCCTCAACCAACACTGTTAGTAAGCAGTCACAAAAAAGGCAAACTCTAACCACCCCTATCCCTATGAAATAGTGGAGGGACAATTCTTCAGGATGGTTTGGTGTAGAACACAAGCTTCCTCGATTAAGGTGGAATGCAGAGACCACCTTAGAGAGAAAGGAGACCACAGAACAACTTAACCTCTATGGATGACCAGAAAGGGCCACTTGCACGTCAAGGCTGCTTATTCATAAAACACACCTAGCAGAAGTGATGGCAATGGGGAAGGCCACCATGCTAGTGAATAAGGGCTGAGGGATATCCCTAAAGAAATTCAAAGCGCAGCTTCTGAAGGGTCGACAGAATGAGAATGAGGTCCCATGGAGGCATTGGAACATGTACAGAGGAACAACATGGGTCACCCCCTGCACAAAAGCCTTCACTAAAGAGTCAGAGGCAAGCAGTCTATGGAAGAAAATCATGACGGCAAAAATCTTGCCATTGATGGTAATAAAGGACAAATGCTGGTCCAAGCCAGACTGCAGGAAGAATAAAATGCATTCCACTAAGTACTTGCTAGGTTGAAACTTCCCGACTTTGAACTATGCAAAATTTGCCTTCCAGGTGAAACCTTATGAAAGGTTGATTTCCTAACCTTAAGGAAAACTGAGACGATGACGTCTGGATAGGTTCTGTCCCTCAGGATTTGGGCTTCCATCCAGCAACGGAGAAACAGGGTGGGATACTAGTCCTTGTGACAGTAGGTCTGGGTGATCTGGAAGTGCCCATATAGAGTCTTCCAGGAATTTGACTGTCTGCATTCCAGGGCCTCCTAGGCCAGCAGAAAGCAATGAGAATCACTGAAATGTCCTGCATCTTCATCTTGCAAAAGAGGTGAGGCAAGAGTTTCAGGGGAGGAAGGCAATCAGGGAGGAAAGGCAATCAGGGAGGAAAGGCAATCAGGGAGGAAAGGCAATCAGGCTGAACTGATCCCGAGGAGCCACTAAGGCATCCACTGTGAAGACTTGGGGGTCCTGCTGAAAAGCCTGTCTAGTTTGTTGTTGATGCCAGTAGGTCTATGTTGAGCGGCCTGCACATGCGACAAAGAACTCAGGACACCTCCAGATGAAGGGACCCTTCTCCGGGAACAAGATGCCAACATCTGGAATGTGTACAGTGGACAGGGCCAGAACATAAGTTCAGCCCAAGCCAGAATCATGTTCACTACACTTTGAGCCATGCGACTTTTCATGCCTACTTGATGGGTGATGTAAGTCACGCCTGTGGTGTTATCCAGCTGAATCTTTGTCAGATGACCCCCGCAACAGGGAAGTCTAAGAGTTGAGACAATGTAACAGTCCTCCCAATGCTGCTGGATCACAACTACGGATTAGCTTATCACAGCCCACAATGATAAGTAGGTGGTTCAGGCTGAGGACACTGCTGTAACCCTCATTAATGGAGGCGAGGGGCGCAGCTCCCACAAACATCATATATCACCGAGCAACATAACCATAACCCTCTGTATTATCGTCATACAGGGGGAAGCAACTGAGTAAGGCTCTAAGAGTTACTACTGTATTAATATCATACAGGTGTTTAGAGCTTCTACAATGAGGAGATGTAATGCTAGGTGTAAGGGAATGAATAACTGAGCGTGAGGTCTGATGAGAGCAGTAGCTTGACAATGCTGATTCATCTTATAAGCATAGGGAAGTATCAGGCAGCAATTACAGTTTCAGCCACTAGAAACACTATACAAGGAGCAGAGTAAGTCCACAGTGACAATGGTGATCTAGTTTATTAATATTACTTGCGGTTGAGCAGGTGACGAATCCTTA